TTTTATTAACCCTTAGGTATGGGATGCCGTTAAAATATGAAAAATCCATTAGTGAATGCCAGTTTTGTAAATATTCATTTAAGAAAAAAATGTCCGTGGCCAAGCTAGGGAATCGGAATACCTTCTTCTGGAGGTCCTAGGTTTGATTATCAGTCAAAGAAAGTAACATTTTGACTTTTAACTTTCTACTTTGGACTTTGAGAGTTATTGTCTTAAATCTCCACGTTCATAACTGGCGAGAAGTGGCGCAAAACAGACCGGAGTGGCTGAGGCCAAGACTCACTTTGGGTCGCTGTGCTTCTTAGTTTTTTTTTAATATGATCTTTTGATAAGCCTTGCAAAAGGTGCTATTGGATTACTCCAGTTGCAAGACGGTGTGCTATTTTTTAGGATGAGTTGGATTACATTCTATTTGTTGAATTCTTTTAGATGATGTGCTTCTTAGTTATGTCTAAGGAAATGTGATTTGTGCTTCGGAGGGTCCCAATCTAGGCCTACACATGTAGGCCTAGGATGTGCGCCAGGATATTTTTTTATCGAGGCATTTTGTCGATTTTGCACTATAAGTCCGCTTATCATCTAAAATGGACGATAAGATTTTATCAAGTTGCGCACTCAAGCTCGGCTAGACTAAAATATCCCAAACAGAAAGGAGTTTTTACGTTTAAACTTACCTCTGTAACGCTCAGCAAGCCAGCCGCTTCCAGCGCCCTATACCCTCGTCCCATGTCTCCGTATGTTGTTTTTCTTGGTGGTGCATTCATTTGGACGGCTTAGGTGGATAAATAATGCATGCGCCGCGGGGGGTCATCTGTATTCCGCGCAGCACAAGGGCTCGTGTCGACGTGTTTTGAGCCCGCGAGTCAACTTCGACATCTTTGCTAATACCATTGTTTGGTAACTGGAAACAAGTGAAATTAAACTGAAGAAGGTATTTTTTCAAGTGTGTTTTTGTCTTTTGTATATGGCCGTGAACCTGGGAGTCAAACCTGAATCTATTGCATTGAGATTTGAACTTCCTCATCAATAGCACATAGAGACGGTTTATTTTTTGATCATACCGCAACGGAACAACTGCTAATAATCCAAAAATAATAACCTTGAGCAGTGACATCGCTTGCTAGACCGCTTACATATAGCACCCACACACACAAACACACTCACACACATAATCACCAACATAAACCTCAAAAATTCTTTAGTATTAATTATTTAGCTAATAGTTACAAGTAATCAGTAGGTATGTAATATAATTAAGATTTTATGCAGAGCCCATAGTAGTATTAGAGGTGGAGGGTTGGCAACCTGAGATACAGGATCTTTCCTAGTTCAGGTGTCAACCCGCCATAATCGGTAAAATGTTCCTTTTAATCAGTCTTATGTACCTTATTTGTAAGATTATGGTGAGAATAAAGATATTTTATTTTTATTTATTTTATTTTATTTTATTCAGTCTCCACTGCAGAGTGCAGACCGCTCTACATATAATTTCCTTGAGGCAAATAGAGGATTTTGTCTATCTACATACCACTCCTCATGATGGCTACTGTTTAAAGAGAAGTTGTCATAATCAGTAAATATTTAAAAGGAAATAGTAATGAAATTGAATAAGATTCAAATGGCACTCTCTCTCTCCCAGTTCTTTCTTAGGGCTTAACTGATAATTAGAAAAGGCAGTACAGAAAGGCTTACTTGATGCAAGCCATTTTTTCTTTAAAGAAAGTCATATAGGTATAACTTTCAGTAACAAAACTAACACACAAATGGAGCTTTAACCTACTTAATATTTTGCATCAGCACGCAATTTTATTGTTTAGTATGTTCCACAATCACGGCTCGTGTTAATTAATTACGAACTTCATAGAAATTACTGAGTTATAAGTGGAAGCCATGTCATCGTGACAAGATGAAACGCACCTTTATGCGCCACTTTATTAGTGAACATTCTTTGTATTAACATTTTGATAATATTAATTTACACTTTAGACCACACCTATGCTTCAGAATTAAGTTCATAATAGGGTCATTATTTATTTATTTACGAAGCTCTCCCATGACTTTCCACGAAATTAAAGATGTGTATAAAAAAATACTTGACGATTCAAAAGTGATAATTACATCGGTCACATGGCATTGAAAGTAAACTAAAGAATTATAAATAACTTGAAAAAATCAAACTGCCTAAGGTGGGAATTGAACCCACGACCTTTCGCTTGCCGGGCGACTGCTCTTCCAACTGAACTACTTAGACACTGGATGAACTCGTCGAAATTTTCAAGTTTAAAATGGGACTCTTAACGCTAAAAATTAAATAAAGTAGAGAAGTTACTAAAGAGAAAATTAATAATATGTGAAATTTTCGATTCCATCACATTTGTTTTCTAAGATTACGACTAGTTTTAAGTAGCGGACAAATCATTCATCATCACAGTACTCGATCATATAAAAACAGAGACCCTTATCATTATATGCTTTATTCTAATAGAAAAACTAGTCAATATAAAAAGTATGTCAGTTCATAAGTGCGATGGCAAATCCTTCTGATGCTGAGTGTTTTTAGTATTTTCTGAGAAATCGCTGAAGCTACATTTCACATCGTATTCACTCGCGCGAACTTAGCTCAACAAAAATAAACTTGTCCTTTAGTTTCAGCAAAGTGTATCTCAGTGTTACAGTCAAAACTCAGAATCGGTAAAAATCAATTTTGACTATAAAAATCAGTCAAAAGTGGTTTTGACTGATGCCCTTGATCAATACTACTTTTGAGTGCAAAAAACCAGTCAAAAGTGGATTCGCCTGATTTAAAAATTTACCTATCAGTCAAAATTCATGCAAAGCGTTATGATTAGTGAAAATTACAAAAATTGCAAAAATCATTCTAAAGTGGTTTTGACTGTTGCCCTTAGTCAATATCACTTGACTGAGTTTTGCAGTCAAAAGTGGTTTTGACCGACATGAGTTTTGACTGTAACATCAGTATATACTCAGTTTCGATACGCTGTTTCGGGAGCGCCAGTAAAAAAGCTTGCAAATCCTTGAACTCCCTAGTGTTGGCGGAATAGTCGACTGTAGTGTGTGATAGCTTAGTAGAAACTTCCGTTTACGGGGGCTTACTATGCTATNTGCTATTTATTTATTTATTTATTTATTTATTTATTTATTTATTTATTTATTACGGTATACCAACAACATTACATACAAAGTAATTACATGAAAATCTTACATAGAAAGTTTTAATAATTCAAAAACGTGTTTTTATACTTATCGATTGGCTTTTTGATTTGTACACTGCACTATTTAAAACGATGATTGATGTTGGTTGAATAAAGCGTTTACTATTAATTTATTCTCATCACCTTTTACTTATTTCAAACGTTTGATATTATGTGTTTGGGTACATGCTATGTTTGTATTTTAAGGCATTTTAAAGTAGTCCTGAAAATATTATACTAAGCCTAAATACTGAAAATTTTGTTTTTCAAATTCTTGCAGCAAAACGGCCACTTCATAAATAATACCTAAGCTTTATAAATTGGTAAAATATCGTTTATCGTTATCGTTAAACACTCGTATTAACTTACAGTGAAATCAAATTGACATTTATTTACTTAATTAACACATTTTTGAGTTTATTATTAGATTGACTTGTTTTATTTTCTTTTGGGTTTTACGCCAAACCGAAAAGATTTTAACTGTCATACCGATAGCATTAAAATTCTAAACGCGTTATTCTGAATGCGTTTCTCCACGGCTTAATACATATTCCCGTTGAAAAGCACTCAGCACCCGCTTACCATATTTTGTAAAAATATGACGAACGCTTTTAAGGCGAAGGCTTTGAGAATAGCTCCCCTGATCCCTATGGAGTCCACTTTCATACTGCTCGCTATTTACCGCCTACGCCGTGCAAATCGATATCTCGCTCAGATGCATTGCCCCTTGAAGTATTTCGTTTCACAATAAACCTGTATTTTCTATACAAATATTGGGAATTTATTTTCGACTGGTTTTGGCACAGGAATATTTTGAAAGGTTTATCGTGGACTGTAATATTGAAGCAATTCGTCTCGACAAACTAATGTACAATTTGTTTTGATGTTCTGCACATTTATTTTATACTTTATTTCTATTCTAAGAAGTGATGAAATAACATTAATATCTACTGTTATTTTGCTGAGGTCAAGTATGTTTGAGAGGACGTCAACACTATGATACGATTTTTTATAACAAATAAGTAAAAACCAATACTTTTTCATTGTGGAAATTTGACCCAATTATTATTATTTCTTTAAGATTCTATGACTTTTTTAGCTTTGTGAAATACCTACCTATTACTTAAAAATTAACCCTATAAGCCACTTCGGTAAAATGAGTCGTCAGAATCTTTCTATCTTAAAATCACGACAATAGATACGTAACTTATTGTTTCATTTCAAACCAGACAGAAAACAAGAGATTTCAACATTTCCCAACCCAACAGTCTGCGGAATCGCACCCATTCTCAAACCACATGTCTCAGCGTTCGTAATTGAAACAAAAGCGTTCTCGGACGNCGAAGTTTCTTTTTCCCCGGGGGCGAAAGTAGTCTAGTCTAGACGAGTCGCGTAAAAGTTTAGAGTAAATTAGATCGCGTCGGAGAGTGTTACAGAAGCGCCACACTTATCGGCGCATTCCTAGCCCCTAGCCCAGTGGTTCTTAACCTTTAAATCATGAGGGACCATTTTACCAAATTTCTGTCTTGTCAGGGACCACCTCATAATCATAATCGGTCTAAAGTGAACCATTTTGACTGCAAAAATCAGTTTAAAGTGGTTTTGACTAAGGCGTGCAAGTGCACTTCGTGGACCACTTGGAATGCCTCCAGGGACCACCAGTGGTCCGCGGACCGGTTAAGAACCACTGCCCTAGCCCCTAGCTCTGCCCCTAGCCGCTTTGAATACGTGACGCTTTCGGAATTCGTATTGGATGCATTTCTCCGGTTCTGACGGTTTCANTATTTTTGTAACCATGGCAACCAACGACGAGTTTTCCGACTCCGAATCATTCAACGTCCCGACGGCCTCTGCGTCCAAACCGGTCACCCGCAGTATGGCTTCTGTTCCTAAATCGGAAGACAAAATTGATCTAAACATACTACTCAAATTCATAAAACAATTTAATGGTGACAGAGACAAATTAAATCCTTTTATTTATAATTGCCAAAGCGCATTCAATCTAGCAAATGATACACAAAAACCTATACTATTCAAATACATGCTCAGCCAACTCGAAGGTAGAGCCGAAAGTATATGCAGTATCAAAGAATTTGAGACCTTCGACCAATTTGTAGAATTTTTGAAACAACAGTTTGGCGAGAGAAAGCACTACTCGCACCTGTTGTCCGAACTCCAAGATTCACGACAAAGTTTTAGCGAAACAGTAAATCAGTTCGCCTTACGTGTCGAAACCTGCCNATTTTTGTAACCATGGCAACCAACGACGAGTTTTCCGACTCCGAATCATTCAACGTCCCGACAGCCTCTGCGTCCAAACCGGTCACCCGCAGTATGGCTTCTGTTCCTAAATCGGAAGACAAAATTGATCTTAACATACTACTCAAATTCATAAAACAATTTAATGGTGACAGAGACAAATTAAATCCTTTTATTTATAACTAGCTTTCCGCCCGCGGCTTCGCCCGCGTGGAATTTTGTCTGTCACAGAAAAACTTTATCGCGCGCGTCCCTGTTTCAAAAACCGGGATAAAAACTATCCTATGTTCTTTCCCGGGACTCAAACTATCTATATGCCAAATTTCATCAAAATCGGTTGCGAGGTTTAAGCGGGAAAGCGTAACAGACAGACAGACAGACAGACAGAGTTACTTTCGCATTTATAATATTAGTTGGGATTGCCAAAGCGCATTCAATCTAGCAAATGATACACAAAAACCTATACTATTCAAATACATGCTCAGCCAACTCGAAGGTAGAGCCGAAAGTATATGCAGTATCAAAGAATTTGAGACCTTCGACCAATTTGTAGAATTTTTGAAACAACAGTTTGGCGAGAGAAAGCACTACTCGCACCTGTTGTCCGAACTCCAAGATTCACGACAAAGTTTTAGCGAAACAGTAAATCAGTTCGCCTTACGTGTCGAAACCTGCCTAGCCAAACTACTCACAGAAATTAATATTTCAATTCCAACGAAACGAAAAACGGAACTAGCCGGTCGTGTAGCTGCTCTGGAAGACCTAGCGCTACACACCTTCATGGTTGGTCTACAACCCCGGCTTTCACAAGTTGTACGTTGCCACAGTCCGGCCTCCTTGAACGCTGCGGTCAACTTAGCCGTGGCCGAAGAGAAAATTCTAGCAGGTTTCAACAAACGATCACCACAGACGCCCAATAACAACGACAAGCGTCCCCAACAACCTCGCCGCGATTTTCGCCCTGCGGTCAATTTAGCCGTGGCCGAAGAGAAAATTCTAGCAGGTTTCAACAAACGATCACCACAGACGCCCAACAACAATGACAAGCGTCCCCAACAACCTCGCCGCGATTTTCGCCCAAACAATGATTCACAACGACCAAATTCTAATCCATTCACTTGTCGTTATTGCAAAAACGTCGGTCATTCAATTGAACAATGCCGGAAGAGGCAGTATAACAATAACAGAGCTCAGTCAAACAACAACAACAACCAACAAAACCGTCAGTTTCCAACAACGAGTTTCCACCCTCATAACGCGTCGCATCGCATTTTCACCGTTGACCCGGAAGGTCATAACGATGTCCAACCCAATGATTATCAAATCAATCAAGGAATCGATGAAACCGACGGTACTTTAAACTATTAAAGGGCTCTCGGTGGTGTCCCGCGAGTCCACAGCCTCGACTTACCTCTTTCAAAATCCAAAAGACACCTACTAAATCCACTGTATCTGCCAATCCTACTAAATCCACTGTATCCACTGTATCTGGCAATCCTACTAAATCCACTGTATCCACTGTATCTGGCAATCCTACTAAATCCACTGTTTCCACTGTATCTGGCAATCCTACTAAATCCACTGTATCCACTGTATCTGCCAAGCCTACTAAATCCACTGTATCCACTGCATCTGCCAATCCTACTAAATCCACTGTATCCACTGCATCTGCCAATCCTACTAAATCCACTGTATCCACTGCATCTGCCAATCCTACTAAATCCACTGTATCCACTGCATCTGCCAATCCTACTAAATCCACTGTATCCACTGTATCTGTCAAACCTACCAAATCCACTGTATCCACTGCATCCACTGTATCCACTGTATCCACTGTATCCACTGCATCCACTGTATCAACAAAACCTACTAAATTCACTGTATCCACTGTATCTGCTAAGCCTACTAAATCCACTGTATCCACTGCATCCACTGTGTCCACTGCATCCACTGTATCAACGAGACCTACTAAACCCACTGGATCTGCTAAGCCTACTAGATCCACTGTATCCACTGCATTCACTGTATCAACAAAANTGGTCGAGTTGCGCAAATAAAGGCCCAAAAAACCAATAATAATAATTGTTTTATCTTTTTCGCAAATGATTTTTAATATCAAGCTCTACCTACACTGAAGCTCATAAAGTTCTTCCGATTCATTATGGTTGATACTTTTTGTGTCACGTGATCTTTGTTTTATATTTTCTGTATAATTTTGTATCACAACTTACACAATGAAGTTCGAAATGCGCTGAAGTAATCTAAAGTATCCAAAGGTAAATAGTCCACCCGCAAGGTAGACCGACGACATCATAAAGGTAGCAGGAAGGCGCTGGCCGCTACCAACCGGGCAACATGGAAAGCATTGGGGTGGCCTATGTTCAGCAGTGGACGTCCTATGGCTGAGATGATGATGATGAATCTAAAGTAAGAGTATGTTAATATCTTTACGTTTCATTGTATGAACTGCTAGCTTTCCGCCCGTGGCTTCGCCCGCGTGAAATTTTGTCTGTCACAGAAAAACTTTATCGCGCGTCCCTGTTTCAAAAACCGGGATAAAAACTATCCTATGTCCTTTCCCGGGACTCAAACTATCTCTATGCCTTTCATCAAAATTGGTTAAGTGGTTTAGGCGCGAAAGCGAGACAGACAGACAGAGTTACTTTCGCATTTATAATATTAGTATAGATTGTTGAATGACTTTCTATTTGCAGGTCCCTAGAAGGCAAGCTCCGCATTGGTCTAGCGGAGCAGTCAGTGCTTCAAGCACTGGCACTAGCCACGGCCACCACGCCGCCTGCACCCGGCGGCGCGACTGTGTTAGACGCCTCGCGCGGCCTGCCGTCCGACGAGTTCAAGGTTCGCTTCCCGGTGCAAGCCGGAGGTATAATGCTGCTTTGTCGTCAGAGATGTGCGAGGAAATCCCTTTGAGCGGTCCGGGGAAATGCCTGGCAGTTTCATTTAAGTGGTGTGGAGTACCTCTAATCTAAGACTCCGTAATTTAGTGGATTATGGAGCAAAGATGAATGGCATTTGAGTTTCTCGTTCATGTACCTCACACACTTTTCTCACAATACACCTCTCGTAAATATTATCGCTTGTTGTAAAGAGGTAAGTTGCTTCTTGTGCGTGCTATTTTCCTATAATATTATGTTTTATTTGTTTTCGACTGTGACTGTTTGACTAAAAATCTGCGTACGCGGCGTTAGCATTTCGTATAATGATCTCAGGCGTAACACAAACTAGGCTGAGTTACATTAACTTACTAAAACAATATCCAGTTTATATTGTGTGCAGTTTGATAGATTTTTGAGGTTTTTTTCGGGACTATCCCCACCTCTCGTTCCCACCACTGCAACTCCTGTGTAGCCGGGATCTACAGCTTGACCGCCACAAAAACCCAACCAATGAAGGTCAAGTTTGTCCCGGGAGAAAGTTAAACTGTTATTGGACCCGCAACGAAATTAATCAGAAGAACATAGGAGGAGTTCGAAATTAAGATTCGACTTCCCTCCATTGCAAAGCGGACAGGTGACAAACAAAGGTTTAAAACCTTTAAGAAAAGATTATGCACCACGGACAATAAATATCAATTAAGGGGGCCTATCTTATGAGCAATTTGCAACTACCTGCCTTACTTACAAACTTACTTAGTTATTTTTGAGGTTTGTTAAAGTTACTGCAATATGGTACAACTCGGCCTAAAACAGCTCATATGAATGACGTCACATTCCCAGGCACGTGTAGACGCGCACGCTTTAACAATCAAGAGCACATACTGCGCGTGCCCGAACTACGACGCGCTCATCCCGGCGCTACTGCAGTATGGAGTAGCAGCCCTGCCCGAGCACTGCAAGCTGACGCCCGGCGTGCCGCTCAAACCCATGCTGGCGCATCCGACGCGCGGCGTGCACGAGATATTCAACAGGTCAGTGGGGAGGGGACTAATCCCTAATTTTTAAGTAACCCCTATGAAAACAAAAATCCTGTTATATGTTACCATCGCTTAAAAATTAGGGATTGATAGTGAAAATGGGCATAGGTGGCACAAAATATTCAACATGACAAAGATCACTGGACACCGGCTTCGTTTTCCACAGATTTTATAGATCTACACTGAAGTGTCCCACCAAACACATTGACAGAAGGGTGCCACCATCGTTCAACTATAAAGTTTCCAACGTGGCAAAAATCGGAACCAGCAATCCGGTTGACAATGGCGCCCCTGTCAGTGTCCCGGGTGAGACAGTTCGGTGTAGTTTATCTATAACTTTTATTTTATAGTGCAAAACATATTTTATAAACATATTTTACAAAACAAATTAATATATTTTGTATACCCATTCTTATAAGATACACCATACAAGAATGCATGGTAAATTCAGTGAATTGCTCCTGAATCGAATGTACCTACTACTGCTATTTCTATTTATTTATATTAACCGGCAGACAGTGGTGACTCAATTTGTTGCGGCGCTTCTTCTCAGCACTTGCCAAATGTTGGTCTCGAAGCGCTGGTAAGGTAAAAAGATTATGAGACATGTAGAGGCTCCTTAAGAGCAAAATGACGATTTGTAAGAACTATTTATAGTCTAAACAAATAAAGAAATTTTGAATTTGACATTATTTTATTTATTTATTTACACTTTTGCACATACAATTGTACAGTGGCGGACTTAATGCCAGTAACTTTTGATAACGTCAAAAGTTCACTTACAAAAAAATATTTTTGATGGCATTAAAATAACTGTAGTACTTCACTACAGACAGGTAAATTGTCTTTGCTTGTTTTAAACTTTCATGGTAAGTAAGTAAGTTTCAAACTCCATGATTGCAACAGTGCCGAATATCGTAAACTCTAAATTAAGGTACATGGTAGCTATCCCGTCAATAATAAATTTTATTTATGTCTTTGCTTGATCAGATTCGAGAACGAGCAATTCACGTGCGAATGGAAGTACGACGGCGAGCGCGCACAAATACACGTGCCCGCGAATGAAGACGGCACCGCGCCCGACTTGGCGCGAGCCGCCATCTTCAGCCGCAACCAGGAGGACAACACCAGGTCAGTTGGATAAGTATTCTTATATTTGTAATAAATAATAATAATAATAAATATCCTTGGACATTTTACACTGCGCTTCTAGTCCCAAACTAAGCAAAGCTTGTACTATGGGTACTAGACAACGGATATAAACATACTTAAATACTTTTTAGGGTTCCGTACCTCAAAAGGAAAAAACGGAACCCTTATAGGATCACTTTGTTGTCCGTCTGTCCGTCCGTCTGTCAAGACCCTTTTTCTCAGGAACGCGTGGAGGTATGAAGCTGAAATTTATATCAATTACTCAGGTCTACTGTCCCTTGAAGCTGTGAAAAAATCAAACTTCTAAGCCAACGCAATCAAAAGATACAGCCGTTTATGCCGCAAATTTTCGACACTTGCAAGGGAATCAAAACCTACAGGGTGCTTCCCGTGAACTCAGAATCTTGAAATTTGGTACGAAGCAACGTCTTATAGCATAGATAAAGGAAAAATTACGAAAACCATAAATTTTTAGTTACATCACATAATATATATTTTTTTAATAATTTTAAACTTACTACCCATTTCCTCATAAACGCGTAGAGGTATTAAATTGAAATTCATACCAAATACTCAGGTCTATAATACCTTTAAGCTGTAACAAAATCAAACTTCTATGTCAACGCAATCAAAAGAAACAGCAATTTAAGCTGCATATTTTGAAACTCGCAAGTACTCGCAAGGGAATCAAAACCTAAAGGGTACTTCCAGTCGACCTAGAATCTTGAAATTTGGCATGAAGCAACGTTTCATAGCACACATAAAGGAAAAATTCCGAAAACCTTAAATGTTTAGTTACATTACAAAATATATATTTTTTAATAAATATAAACTTATGAATTTCATTTTGCAATAAAAATACCATAGTTATGACTCGATTGTCGTAATGAACGAACTTTGTAAACCTTGCAGGTTTGTACGGAACCCTCGGTGCGCGAGTCCGACTCGCACTTGGCCGGTTTTTTTTTTTTTTGTAAATACATACATATTATACATAGAAAACACCCAGTCCAATACAAACAAATATATTCATGCACACAAATGTTTGTACTGTGCGGGAATCGAACCCGCAACCTCCGGAATAGTAGTCCGTTTCGAACCACTACACCAAACGGCCGACTAAGGTGGGGAGGTCTTCTTCCAGACCACATATTGGCTGGTGCTGAGGCATGAGTCATTAAGACAATGAGGGCCTATCGTTTAGCGCTCATTAGTTGGCGCTACTGTAGAATAGGGTCATGTTAATCGTCAGTGGTACCAACTGTTAAGTATAAAAACAATAGTCCTCATTACAATTGCAATAGCCTTTATTTGCTATCGGGCTCCTTGGACATGTTTCCGGGGCCTCGCTCGCTCGATCGACGAAGCCTCTACTAACGTCAGGTGACTGGCTCTGACTTCTAATTAAACTTCAGAGCCACCTGCCGGCCCTCGACCGAGTTGATGAAGTAGTAAGAACGGCGGAGTTGTGATTGGAATTGCAATTACAAGATTCATAATTTCAACTAACCCTATCCACGTACAACCCACCGGAAAGTCAACTATGGCCGTATATGAAGAACCACAGCTAACCCTTCTTCGTCATAAATTATATTTGGGTTTGTGTTGTTGGTTGTCCTAATTATTGACGTTTCCCTGCAGTAAATACCCGGACATCCTGCGGCGGCTGCCGGGCTTATTACGTGAGAATGTGACCAGCTGCGTGCTGGACTGCGAGGCCGTCGCCTACGACGTCGCCGCCAAGAAGATCCTGCCTTTCCAGGTGGGTGCGATTAACTGTAATCCTTTAACATGCTTAGGTAGTACAAACTCTTTATGGATCTGTCGAACAGTGATACCAGAATGATACAAAATAGTTTACGAAACCTATCTCACTTATGGTCTGGACCCACATTGTAGATCCTTTCTAGGGCATTTTCAACCGACTTCAAAAAAGGAGGAGGTTCTCAATTCGACCCGTATGTTTTTTTTTTTTTTTCTATGTTTGTTACGCGATAACTCCGCCAATTATGAACCGATTTGAACAAATCTTTTTTCGGCGTATAGGTAAAACCTCAAGGGTGGTCCCATTTATTTATTTATTTATTTTATGGAAAACAAACAGCATATATGCATTATTAATAGATGAGGCGGTTAAGATCAAAAATGCCTTACATAGTTTTCACAAATAGCATATCAAGATACAATCCAAAACAAAACCATTTAGCATGCAGTATAACTACAATATATGAAAAAAGTTAAAACAATACAGAAAATACCTACTAATAATTAATTTAAATTTAATAATAGAAAAAACAACCCCCAAGGGTGGAAAATTGGGGATGAACTTTTTTATACGCAATATCTCCGCCGATTATAAATCAATTTGACTGATTATTTTTTTGTTGAATAGGTATTATCAAAAGGGTGGTTTCATGCGAATTTGAAGAAAATATTTCACCCCCAAGGGTGGAAAATTGGGGATGAACTTTTTTATACGCAATATTTTTAATTTTTTTTTTGTGTTCACGCATTTGAAGTCGGTTTTATTTTTTTTAAAAGTTAATTATTATACACATCCAAAAGATAACTTGTCATCCAGGGTTACGTAGAATTAGCAAACGACGTGTCATCGAGACACTACTTGATCTATAGTACATTGTCACTATCCGTAGTTAGGGCCTCGTCATCTTAAGTATTTCATAGGCCTCTGCCTTGAATTTCCCGCCCTGCTGCCGCTATTTTCGCCGGCCAGCCTATTTGATTTTTCACATAAAATCCTGCCGCTCCCGTGCCGCCGCCGCTGCATGAAAACGGCTGCGATGTTGTTCCTTTAGTCGCGCTGTACAGCGAGTGTTCATCAATTGAGAATGTTACTAGGTATGCAAAATCACTTGAAACCTATGTTACAGTTAGGCTTTTACATTTACAAATACATTAGTTTTTATTTCATTCAAAAATACCCAGTAGTTATGATTTTATAGGCATTCAAAGTTCGCTTAAATATTGAGTCCCGCCGACGGTCACGTGACCCCGCGTGACGTACATTCACAGTGTCCGCTCACTAGAAAACGGATATAAACATACTTAAATACATTTTTTTTTGTAAATACATACTTATTATACATATTAACAACCAGACCCATCATAGAAATTATTAAAATTGAACCAAACCCAAACTTGATGCGATTGTGTCGTTTTATTGCGAATTACCTTCCAGCTCCATCATTAGACCCTGATTACTATATAGAATTAAAGTACTCATCAATACAAAACGAACGAGCCCAAACTCGATGGATTTAAGTCGTTTTATTATAGAGTTCCTATGGCCACCTTCCAGCTCCATCATCAGATCAGCTCCATGTCATCATAATATTGCATGGTCATCCAAATCACATATGTTTGCGTAATTTCAGCTTAATCGGTTGCCTGGAAGTGGGTTGATTAATTCAGCTTGCAAGATTCCACCCATACAAATATGAGCCAGTCGCTGTAATATGACGTCACGCGCATAAAATGGCGGGCCAGTCGCCGCCCGCACTTTTAAAATTCAATATCTTGGAAACTAATTGACGTATCGAAATAATTCTTTCACGTGTATTTTTTATTTTTAACAGAGAATACAGAAAGCTAAAAAACAAAATTAGTGAACATTCTTCATTGTCAGGTGCTGTCGACGCGCAAACGCAAGGACGCGCGCGAGGAGGACATCCAGGTGCAGGTGTGCGTGTTCGCCTTCGACCTGCTGCTGCTCAACGGCCGCTCGCTCGTGGCCGCGCCGCTCGCCGAGCGCAGGAGCTTGCTGCGCGAACATTGCCGCGAGGTCGAAGGTATAGCTACGTTATGTTCTGCCGTCCTGTCGCGTCGGACAGAAACAGGAGGGCTTAGTGTGAGTTGACATCAAACGCCGTCACTAGCGAGCGCGTTAAAAAAAAAATGAAGATTTTAGTTCTTGAAAGTTTCCGCTAGGGGCGCTGTACAATCCGTCATACATTTAATGTCACTTTTTTACGCAATCGACATCAAATGCGTTTGACGTACTCACACTACGCCCGAAGAAATGACCCTATACGATTGCATCGTATAGTACCGTGTGTCCTGCCACCCACTGCTAGACAAAAGTCCTAAATAAGTCCACAAACGATCAATCCCGCTGCGCAAGCGCATTCCACAACCCTCATCAGTCATCAGATCACTAATCTACCGAGTAGGAGGCCCGCCTACACATTTTTTAGTCAAAAATTCCACAATGTCTCAAGACTAGTCTTTGACCAGTGTGTGTTGTCTGATGACGCATAGAATGGGCACGCAGGACCCTTACTTTAGTCTTCATAAAGAAGACTCAAGGTTACCTAAAAGTTGATGGAAAATACTATGCTCATTTTCCCTACGTAATCTATTCAGAGGTATACGTCATCCGATTTTCGTTTGTTTTCTAGACCCCTATTTTAATTTAACACTTACGTTAGTAGCAGTAAATAAACACGTATTCTCCCGTGCAGGCGAGTGGCACTTCGCGACGTCCAAAGACTGCAGCACCATGGAGGAAGTACAGCAGTTCCTGGACGAAGCTGTAGCCAACTCCTGCGAGGGACTCATGGTCAAGACGCTGACGGGTGACCACGCGCGGTATGACATCGCGCGACGCTCGCACAACTGGCTCAAGGTAATCACAGGTCTAGGGACGCAATACCAGCTCAATATAAAAGCTAAATTCAATTCACAACGGACATATATCATTAGAATGATAAAGTAACAATTACGATAGTAAATGGCGGACAAAAACCTTTATCGAGTGGTTGAAGACTTCTACATCGAGATGCAACTCGGCACAGCGCCATCTGTTGAGTCTTGTGTAACTTACTGTACATTAACTTGTAGACTTCTTACAAATTATTAGAACTAAAAAACATTGTTCGTTTTCATCATGTATCAACTGTTTATGCACAAGTATTTTTCACACAAATAAGTTATTAGTAATATTCTTTGTATATATAAATACACCTAAAGTCCGGTCGCCGAACAGATAGGATTTCGTCCAATGACTCCAAGCTACCCATGATGAAACCCTTACTAAATTCTATGTGTTCGGGGACCGGACTTTAGCAGTCAAACGAGAAATAGTATCTAATTTACCATTCCTAATCAAAGTACTATCCCATAGTATCTAACCAGTGTCATATAAATCAAGAAAAGGTCAACTTCATTTACCGTTTTCGACTGCGATAAATAACAAAACCGTCCATGTCATATCTCCTTTCAGCTGAAGAAAGACTACTTAGAAGGCGTGGGCGACACTCTAGACGTGGTCGTGATCGGCGGCTACCGCGGGCGCGGCAAACGAGCCGGCGCCTTCGGCGGCTTCCTGCTGGCCTGCTACGAGCCCGAGCAGGAGGTCTACCAGGCGCTATGCAAGATCGGCACCGGCTTCAGCGACGAGGATCTCCAGACTCTTAGTAAAGAGCTCGAGCAACATGTCATTGAGGCACCCAGGAACTATTACAGGTATGCAATGACAATGAAAACAAATTTTACCCCCGCTTTAGAATAACATGTCTATTGGTGCCGAGAGCTTCTTTATAAGGTCTATTTTGAGAAGCCACGTCCACCCACAAGGTGAACCGACGACCACATAAAAGTAACGGGAAGCTGGATTTCCTGGCGCTCTGCAAGATCGGCACCGGCTTCAGCGACGAGGATCTCCAGACTCTTAGCAAGGAGCTCGAGCAACATGTCATTGAGGCGCCCAGGAACTATTACAGGTTTTTTTTTTTATGTGATAGGAGGCAAACGAGCAGACGGATCACCTGATGGTAAGTGATTACCGTCGCCCATAGACACCCGCAGACCCAGGGGCGTTACAGGTGCGTTGCCGGCCTTTAAGATAAAGATACGCTCTCCTCTTGAAAGCTTGCAGGTCGTATCCGTCCGGAAACACCGCAGACGACAGTCCATTCCACAGTTTGGTTGTACGGGGCAGGAAGCTAGAATAACATGTCTATTGGTGCCGAGAGCTTCTTTATCCCAACTAATATTATAAATGCGAAAGTAACTCTGTCTGTCTGTCTGTCTGTCTGTCTGTCTGTTACGCTTTCCCGCTTAAACCTCGCAACCGATTTTGATGAAATTTGGCATAGAGATAGTTTGAGTCCCGGGAAAGAACATAGGATAGTTTTTATCCCGGTTTTTGAAACAGGGACGCGCGCGATAAAGTTTTTCTGTGACAGACAAAATTCCACGCGGGCGAAGCCGCGGGCGGAAAGCTAGTAAGGTCTATATTGAGAAGCCACGGCCACAAGGTGAACCGACGACCACATAAAGGTAACGGGAAGCTGGATTTCCTGGCGTTCTGCAAGATCGGCACCGGCTTCAGCGACGAGGACCTGCAGACGCTCAGTAAAGAGCTCGAGCAACATGTCATTGAGGCGCCCAGGAACTATTACAGCAGGGCTAAGATGCGCGCCGTGATAAACTGCTATCGCGGCGTTATATCGATTTTGACGTCACTATATCGTTTTATCTACCGGCGCTAACATGGCACCCCGAAAATTATCATGTCATCTGTCAAAATGTGATAGTGATAGATTTGTTTTTTTTTTTGTGATAAACCTGGCAAGCCCTAACATGAAGCGCTAACTATATCATATTTTGACATCACGATAGGATAGGATGTGGTGTTTTTATCGTCCTCGATCCTTGCCCACGATAGCAAGACGATAGGAGATTAACTTTTTTGCAAGCTACTTTAACTCTATTTATTTATCATTTATAATGGTAAATGACATTTTACGACTAATTTGAGGCTAGTAAAATTCAAAGAAAGGAATCTAGCACCTTTGTGATACTTTTACTTCTAGGTGGAGATTGAGTTCTAGTTCAAGAGTTTATCAGTGTGAGGCGAATCTTGCGACAGTTTATAATCGCTAGCTGCAAAATCTTAGTGCTCCCACAGTCCCACCCACATATTAATTATTACATTACCTACCTTGTAAAATAACCATTACTTACCTACTTAGGTAGGCAGTCAACAGTACATCAGACAATACATATTAAGTTGCAAATGTCGTGAGATACCCCACAGTGTTTAGCTTGATTTAAGTACCTACTGTCATCTGTACATAATCTTGTAAAATTATTGAAAATGGGGCGGAATGTGGTGACCGAGCTTCTTGTGTCTACATCAAACAGTGGCAAGGTCATTGTCAGAAATTAGCATTGGGTGGGATGTGTAATCAAACTTGCTATAATAACAATGAGAATAAATGAATTTTACTAATTTTATAACTTGATGGTGATACCATACATACATTCCACATTACTATCAATCTAATTCCTCCATGTGGTCTTTTTTAAGGGCTTTAATGTGACAGGATGATAATCTTGTACAATTTATTCCATTATAATAAATTCATCATCATCTCAGCCATAGGACGTCCACTGCTGAACTTAGGCCTCCCCCAATGCTTTCCATGTTGCCCGATGGGGCAGCAAGGTTCTGGGGTGGAGGCCGGGTACCGGAATACGCAGCGTGGGACGTCCACCCACAAGGTGGACCGACGACATCATAATGGTAGCAGAAAGGCGCTGGACGCAGGCAATAAATTCATTATTGCAGTGTAATTTCAAAATAATTCAACCATTATTTACAAAATCTTTATTTGGAAAACTTTTGTTTTACAATAGCTATTTATAATTTCAAATACAAACAGAATTCCATGAATTGGTTAGCCTAGCCAGTACCCTTGAAGTTTTTCTTGCTGATTGTTATTGTAAATTTTCATGATAGTGAGCAAGACTTGATTATGTCTGCTTTAGAATGAAATAATCACTCATAATCCCACACTTCTTCATCCACTGTCTGAAAAAAGAAAGAATATTATTTAAACACAATTATAAATATTACAATTACATAAACAGTTCATAAATAGAAACATTTACTTAATCCTATTTGTATTTTAAGTTTACATACAAAATATTGATCACAGTATTATTACACGGTGAAAGAACTATGTGAAATAAATATAGGAAAGAAGGTGAAAGCTTATTTGTAGGAATAAAGATATTTTTCCTTTTCTCCGGTGCTGTTACTTATGAAAATCAAGATCTGCGGAGTATAGCTAATATTTTAGACTTTAGGTACTTACTTTGCTACTTATGAGTGTAACTTTATTTCTCAAATCTCAATAAACTTTCTGACTGCTTCATGTAAGTTGAATAATTACTGTAAACCTCGCATTATGGGGTAGGTAGTGGAGTTCGGTTATTCTGTTAATTTTGAAGACTTCATTCTTTAATACTATCGGTATGATTAGGAATTCTTCATTGTTTTTCTTTAACTTGGTTATCTCTTCGTTTGATATTTTCCGTACTTTAGAAATATTAAAAATAAGACTGGAAACATAAAAATACAATTTTAAAAACACAAACAAATACAATCAAGCAGTCATGTAATGTCAACAAAATTGACATAACTTTTTTTTAATGACGTTCTCACTGCTTTAAGATATGTGTTTTTAGCCGAATTAGTAGCAGAAATGAACGAGATTGAACGAATGAGCTAAAATATTTCAAGGTTGGCCAACATAATAACGCAATTTTTTCTTAATATGGCAACAATTCGGTTATCACGCGATAGCGGTCGATAGACTTTTCTATCGATGGTCCCATGTTAGGGAAAATGATAAAATTATCTACGTGATCGAAAATTGTCTTATCATATCATGTCATTGTCGATGCGCGCATCTTAGGCCTACAGGTATGCAACGACAATGAAACGTTAACCCCTTTACTAATAAAAAGTTACACACTTGTTGAACAGTTTTAAAATGACATTCTCATACTAAACATCACTTTAAAACTCTGTTCAGCAAGTGAATATTTTTATTAGTAAAGGGGTTAGTCTTCATAACTAACTTTTATTTATAAACGTCTCAAACAGCCTGCCTTGCTATCGCATAGGCTGGTTTCTTTCTAACGTGTAGGTCAATTTCGTCATAACGTTAGGGTTTTTCGTTAAAATTTACAATTTTACTAGCAATCCGAAGCCATTATTACTTCTTTTACAGAAGAGCGCTGTCTGATGAACTTTTTTTAACGTATCTAAACTGCGGAGTGATCGTTTTTCCGTAGGTAAATGCTTTTCACATGATCGTCCCCATCGGTCAGTGGGTTTTGTGGGACTCCTCGCCAGAAGGGCGGGGTCTACCAACTAAAACCTAACGATGTCCTCCGCGTCCAAAAAAATGGAAGTGCAAATTATTGTTTTAAAACTAGATATTGATCTGGGGCTGAAGTGATATAGACCCAATACATTGAACTGTCCCACGCGTGACAGGGGGCGCCACCGTCAATACCGGATCGCTGGTTCCGATTTTTGCCATGTTGGAAACTATGTATACAGTTGAACGATGGTGGCGCCCCTCTGTAATTGAGTTTGGTGAGACAGTTCAGTGTAGGTCATCTACACGTCTATCCCTTGTCTAAGGCCAAGATGTAGAAGTGAAGTAAAGTTGAATATTAATTTCCAGCTACGACCGCAGCCACGAGCCGGACGCGTGGTTCGCGGCGGCGCTGGTGTGGGAGGTGCGCTGCGCCGACCTGTCGCTGTCGCCCGCGCACCGCGCCGCCATCGGGCTCGTCGACCACGACAAGGGCATCTCGCTGCGCTTCCCCAGGTATGTCTGCACTATAACGAGCTTTATTTTAGCTCAGTGGTTCTTAACTGGTGGTCCCTGGAGGCATTCAAAGTGGTCCACGAAGACATCGTAATAAACAAGTGACGTGACGTGATGAGTCGAGTCAACACAACGCAAACGGCGCACAGTGGGCGAGAAATCGACCTCCCCTTTCATAGGATTAAAAAAAAAAGTGGTCCCTGACAAGACGGAAATTTCGTAAAATGGTCTCTCGTGACTTAAAGGTTAAGAACCACTGTTTTAGCTATTAGTTGGACCAATGGGTTTTAAGTTCTGGACCTTAACTACCATAAGAGAGATCGTACTTTGCGGTGCTGCTCCGTAGTTTTACATAAAATCTGACGTATGAACGCAGATCTCTCTTACTCGTGAAGATATCTCTCTCACTCAAAACAGTGGATTTGACCATTATTGTCTTGTCTTGAAAGGACAATAAGATGAGTCCTGAATCTCACTTGATGACAAACCTAATGATGGAAGCAAACTGCCCATAATCTTCATACACAGAAAAGCTGGATATCTTACAATGCTGTTAACATTGCCGTTACGGCAATTGATAGATAGCCCGGTGTCAAAAATCAAAATCAAAAATCCTGAGTTTCGATCTTGAGCTTCGCGTCTGATCTCGGTCCAGGTCTTGCCGATTTTCGTCTTTGTTACAACTGAAATAAGGTTATAAACGTGACCAATGAGGGTTTTCGCGTATGAAAAATCCGCCAGATGGCAATACGTAGACGCGAGGTCCAAATGCTGCATGATTTGTTATTTTTGACATGACATTGACAGATCAAAATCCACCAATCACGCAGCAGTCAGACCCCACATCTACGTCCCACCATCTAGCGGATCTTTCATACGCGAAAACCCTCATTCGAGTAGAAATCCCAAAGTTTCGACTGTCGCAACACACACAGCGTACACGCCTTATAACCTGCTACCTGCCTTAGGTTCGTGCGCGTGCGCACAGACAAGACTCCGGAGCAGGCGACGTCGGCGCAGCAGGTCGCCGCCATGTACCTGGCGCAAGACCAGATCAAGAACCAGGCCGCCAAGCCCGCCAACCTCGACGACTTCTACTGAGAGAAGGCAGGCAGTATGATGAGAACACGGTTATGTATTTATTCTATTTTTTTTTCTCTGGCTAAGCCAACATAAATAATATATTTTTTATATTTTGTCACTGGGGATGTGAGACGCGATATGTACGTATGTATTGTTCAAATTGAGGTGGCACACAACAGAAAATGTCGCGCCTGCATCGAGCAGCAGAAATAGTAAATCTTGCTGCTGCAATGGATTTTATTTTTATAACTGTACTTACATCAAGTTTTTGTCAAATGATAAGCTGTATTATAATTAAGTGGTCTCGAATAACGTACGCGTATGTTATATTGATACGTGTAAACTGATTCCGATTCTATGATACTATTTATAATAATAAATGTTAGTAATGTTCACAATGTTTTATTGATATTCTTAAGACTACTTACATTTAGATCATGAGTCGTTTGTGAAGCGTTTCGCAGGAAATGAATAAGGAATATTTTGCATTCACAATATAATATTATAATTAAAGGGTTACGATTATTTTGATCTATTACGTTATACACTTGATATGGTCCATAATAAGACTACGTTATTAGGTGTTTATAAACATTCATATTTTTATATCAGTAGAAGGTAAACTTTACTACTAAGTCTAAATTGTAAACCTACAGTAAGCTCTCCTTGTGACGATTTAGAAAATAAAATATTCAAAATTAAAGCTTTTGAAGAAGAATAGCTAACTTATCCCAATAAATTATAATATTAATCACATGTCAAGATTTTAAAAATACCGGAAAATATAAGTTATTTATGTGTACGGGACGAAATAGAAACACAACCCCGTTTGTTCTCCCCGCGTATAAAGAAAGCTGTCATGTAATCATGCCTACATTTTTTCCTCAATGGTGTACACAAAAACCATGCTCTGAATAATTTCAGGTGACCACTTTGATACCGAAGTACGGTTTAGAAAATAGGACTCATTATTGTAGAATACAATAACACACTCAGTTTGCTGTAGGCCGTATATCGCTGTAAAATTAATTGTACTTACTTAAATTATTGTACTTATACAATTAAAAATATTAATGCTCGACGCCACTTTTTGTAATACTCTTAAAACAACCTTACGACATTTTAAAATTAAGAGATTCTTTGATATGGCACAATTTTTGACACAAATACCTTTGAGAGTTGCAACTGAGTATTAGTTCATTGCCAAAATTAATTTCAGAGACATCACTAAAATATTCCAATTTACGGTTAGTAAACACTTAAGTATCTTTTATTTGGTGTTTTGAGCAATATATAATAAGTAAAGTCATAATTTTTTTCATGACAAGGCTTTTAGAAAGCACTTTTGCGTGTCCCGATATTACTTGAACCCTACCACTGCTTCGGGACAATATGCGGGCCAGTGCTGAGAAGAAGCAGCGCAAGAAACTCAGTCACTTTTATCAGCCTCTTTTTTCAATGGCGCAATAACTTCCATCGACGCCCGCCTTAGCAAATACATTCCATAATGTGAAAAACAATCACAATAAAATAGGACTTACAAACCTAAACAGGAGCAATATCACGGTTATTTATAAGTAGATTTATATAAATCACTAACCAGTAATAAATAGTGATAGCTAACTCCGCCTTGCATAAAACTATGAAAATTGTCAAACTACAAGTGGTCTGATTATTAAGTAGGTATCAGCATAGGAATACATAATATGTAGTAAGATATTCAAAAATCATTCGATCACTTAAAATAATAGGCGCCGCGCAAGATACGAACACACTCCTACACTTATCATAATAATATCAAACTACCCTCACATTTGGTCTCGAAGATATGATAGATTCGAATAGTTATAAGAAATTCAATTTACAGTACAAGAATAACGTGTAAAAATAATATCTATATTAAGAAGGCAAGAGGTGGCCGCTTTGGATATGTAAGGAAATAAGATGCAGCGCCACCGGGTCGAGAGCCGAGCTACAGTCGGTGAGTGGATTATGTTGTAATATTATATGGGCTCATTCTTGAATGAAATGTCACCCAAATGATTGGGCCTTGCACCTAGAAGAAAGGTGTTGGTAATAAAGCGGCGGTTACAGCAGCGCGGCGCGCTCGGGCGGCGGCGACGCATCGCGTGCCTCCGCTAGTAGATTCGCGTGCTCCTGGAAACGGGACAAGCATTTTAGTTTAAACTTAAAACTTCATATATTCAATCGGAGGAGCAAAACCAAACCATTTCCTACAAAACACTAAAGCGTTGCCCTTGTTACCCTTCCAGATACCATACATTACGATTTTTGCATTAAGTTTCATCATAGTCGTTATTAGGCAATCGAGAGGTAGCCCTGTTCAAATGCCACGTCACATTTAAACTTTAAAGGCATACATTCATCAAGACAGATGTATCAGCATTAACATAACTGGTACATCCGCGAGTAAAAACTGCATTGACCTTGAGCAACCGTCCAAAATCAGAATGATTACAAATAAACCAATTTCGTATAATAACATTCGTTTCATCCAAGTAATAAATTATTGTTATTTATTGTAGTAAATGTCAGTTGAATAGCTGTTTTCATGTGTGATGCAATTAAATTATACGACTAACCTGTTTTCATTTATGATAACACACTCCTATGTTAATTAGTAGGTACCTTTAACGTTAATATGTATGATTGCTGACCTAAATAATAGCTTTCTTTTAATCAAAATCGAAAGAGTTTTAGATTTGTTTGTTTACGCAATGAATAAATGCTTGCTAATTTCGAGATCTTAGCTTAATTTTTACTTATGATATTGAGATTCCAATGAGATGAAACAAATATAGAGTTTTGAACTAGACAAGACGCAAACGCAAACAAACTAAGCTATGGCTGGATTTTATCAATAACTAAGGCTGGGTTTCCGCCAAGGCGAAGTGGAGCGATGAAATGGTTTGATTGGTTACTGAGAATGGTACAGATCGACGAAATAAATTAAATACCTCAGTGGGGATGTTCTGCTGGGGTGCGTACATGCTCTCGTATACGGGATTCGCAAAGTGGTTTCCGCCATTCTGTAAAATAAATACACTCACATTTAGTGATAATTTACCGAATTTCACGCGGGTAAGACTGCAGGCAGACAGAAGCAATTTTATTTTCAACCGACTTCAAAAAAGGAGGAGGTTCTCAATTCGACCCGTATGTTTTTTTTTTCTATGTTTGTTACGCGATAACTCCACCAATTATGAACCGATTTGAACAAATCTTTTTTCGGCGTATAGGTAATACCTCAAGGGTGGTCCCATTTAAATTTAATAATAGAAAAAATAACCCCCAAGGGTGGAAAATTGGGGATGAACTTTTTTATACGCAATATCTCCGCCGATTATAAATCAATTAGAACGATTACTTTTTTGTTGAATAGTTATTTTATCAAAAGGGTGGTTTCATGCGAATTTGAAGAAAATATTTCACCCCCAAGGGTGGAAAATTGGGGATGAACTTTTTTATAATATTCATTAAGAATATGGTCTCAATGTACTGCCTACCTTCAGTGGTAACATCAAGGTAACAATTAGTTAACTAAAAAGCAAGAAATAAGTAAAATTTTATTAAAAAAAATAAAACCGACTCCAAAAAACCTACACTAAAAAGTAGAAAAATAATTATTGTTATGATTGATGATACTTTGGATGATTGATACTTTTGGAGTCGGTGCAGGCAAACTTTACATGTTTCATAATCTTGGCACCGACTCCAGAAGTATCAATCATGGTATACCTACATAAATATTAATAATTCGTCCTTATAAATAAGTAGGTACTTAGTAATTATTTTTCTACTTTTTAGTGTAGGTTTTTTGGAGTCGGTTTTATTTTTTTTATAATTCTTAGATCACGTTATTTCGATACCTTCACCGTTCGGCTATTGTCGCTTCAATTCAAATTCGAAAGTTCTTTATTGTTTCATGTAAATTACTAGTAAAATAAAATGTATTTTATTTTTGCAAGTAGGCTTTTAAAAAGCACTTTAACACGTCCCAGTATTAACCCTACCACTGCTTCGGGACAATAAATGGGCCAGTGCTGAGAAGCAGCGCAAGAACCTCAGTGACTATTGAGTGAATCGGACACAGTTTTAATTACCACATCCCGTGACGTAGATAAAACTACAACTACATCCAATATCATCACTGTAGAGGCACACAAGACACACAGCCCCTACAGTGACAAAGGAATAGAGTCACCAACCGTGTGCTGCGGCGGTCTCGGCGCCGGCTCGGGCTCGTCGTCGCCGGCCAGGTACATGGGGTTGGAGATCTCGACGTTGTCGGGCAGGCGCGCGTGCGGGAAGCCGCGCCGGCGCCGCGCCAGCCACAGCGCCGCCACCAGCGCCAGCAGCGCCGCCAGCGCCAGCGCCGCCACCCACGCGCCGGCGCCCCACGTGCCCGCGCCCGCGCCAACCGCCGCAGGGATGCAGGAAGCGCCCGACGGGCACGCGCAGAACGGCGTGCCCTCGTCTAAGCTGTTCACTGTCAAAAAAAAATCAGAGTATTTATTCAGTTTAAACCACAAGTGGCACTTATGAACGTCAAAATATTATTATAGAAAATAATAAAAAAAAGAAAAGGTAGCCCTTATGGGGCACTTTACATGTCTCCTTATCTTTTGGGCCCTACCATGGCTTCGAGACAAACATATGGCAAGTGCTGAGAAGAAACGCCGGAACAAACTCAGTCACCACTAATTGCCAGGAATTATCTAACGGTTAGAATGTGGATTGACATGTAACATTAAAGTACATCCCATATTGTGGTGAAATCGTAACAACGTAGAACTATTCATGGGCAAAGTTGTAAAGCTGGAACACTTAATACATACGTATTTTAAACAGTATTACAGATTTTTGCTGTACGTGCGTTATTTGATTTAACAAACAATATTTGGATTTATTAAATTTGATCAAGATAATTAAATTCAGTGTCAATATAAATCGCCATTTTTATGGGATAGAAGGCAAACAAGCAAAAGTATCAGCTAATGGTAAGTGACTGTGCGAAGTGGTAGTGACCACGAGCCGGAAGACGTAGCGTGGGCAGGCCTCCCACTAGGTGGACCGACGATCTGGTGAAGGTCGCGGGAGGTGCCTGGATGCAAGCGGTGAAGGACCGGTCTTTATGGAAATCCTCGGGGGAGGCCTTTGTCCAGCAGTGGACGTCTTTCGGCTGAAACGAACGAATGGTAAGTGACTACCGCCGCCCATAGACACCTGCAGCCCCGGAAGAGTTACAGGTACTACGTTGCCGGCGGCGTTCAAGTTGTTAAACTTGAAAATACGTGAAAGAAACTCACACGAAGGCTTCCATGCACAAACGTGCGGTTGGCGGCAGGCCAGCGCGCGGCAGGCGTCGTCGTGGCCCACATAGTGCGCACAGCGGGGCCCGCCGTAGGGCGCTGCGCACACGCACACGCCGCGCGTTGGGCCCGCGTCCACGCGCGCCAGCACGCAGCGCCCGCCCTGTGCGCACGCGCCCGGCGCGCACTCGCCCGCAACCGCTGTGGACAAACGGGACACGTCAAAAATCAAAATCAAAAGTATTTATTCGGTTTAGACCACATGTGGCACTTATGAACGTCAAAATTATTATAGAAAATAATAAAAAAGAAAAGTTAGCCCTTATGGGGCACTTTACATGTCTCCTTATCTTTTGGGCCCTACCAGCGCTTCGAGACAAACATATGGCAAGTGCTGAGAAGAAACGCCGGAACAAACTCACTTATTATGCTGTTGCATCTCTCTTACATCTTATATCATATCATATTTTTGGGTTGGGTTCAAATCGGTGATCGCAACCCAACTCAGACAATAAAAGGAGTACCTACGAAAACTGCAGAAAAAATAATCTTACTAAATACCTATTATAAATGCGAAAGTTTATATGGATGTCTGGATGTTAACATGTTTGTTACTCTTTCACGCAAAAACTACTGAACGAATTTTGATAAAACTTTACAGTATTATTGTTTATAACCCACCAGAATAACATCTAGGCTATAATTTATGACGATCTGTGAAGCCGCGGGCAAAAGCTAGTTGGTAAAAAAATAAGTGGCACAATGATATTTGAAATGTAATAGTTTCATAGAATCATGGCATTGTGTACGAGTAGATGATCACCGTAACAGTCATGAATCACCGTGATCAAAACTAATGGCAGACAGAGAAAGTCTAATAAATAATCAAAATGGTGATTAAATTGGTATATCGATTTGAATTTATTTAACAGTAATATTTTAAGTAAAAAAACTAATATCGAGTTAACCCATAAAGCTAGTTTGGTTTGTTTTAAAAATCTTTAAGGTGGTTTTAGTTTTTTATGAACCAAATAAAAAATACTATTACTAATAACTATTGACACAAAAAAATCGCTAACATGCTTGATTACAGAGGTCACGAACTTATGTAAATTGCATTTTTGTTTAGAAACAAATGTAACCCTCGGCTATACGTCGTCTTCTCATCGTAACCTTGAAATGACTATTAAAATATGAACGCAAAGTCCCGTATTTTGATGATTCGTTAGATCATTCAAATTGCAGTACTTTTATCTGTGCCGACTCTGCCTGGTTTGAGGATGGAAGTTTATAAGGAACATGAAAATACAAAATTTTACTGTTAACCAGAGCTTAAATTCCCTAACACAACTTTATTTTTTTAAATTTTCAATAGGGAAATGTAAAAAAACATAGTAAATTAATAGTAGCAAGGCTACGAAGCCGTCAGTGTCCGAATCCGACTCGCTCTTGACCAGTTTTTGGTGTCATTGTACTCGCAGCAAATATCCTAATGATGGAAGAGGAAAATCAATTACTTAACATAATGATAACTTTATCAGTTCCGTTTTGTATTTAATTAACTTACCTTATATTATTAGGTAACATGTTTTTATTGCAGGTAGCCGATTAAATAAGTGGTTTGAATAATAAAATAAATTACTTTTTTGTACACCACGACTAAGAAATACATAAAAGTCATGAGTACAATTTAGGCGGTCTTATAGATCTTAGCGATCTGTTCCGGACAACCTAGCGGACAGTTGTAAAATACGTAAAGAGGATGGAAAGTGGTAATATACTTTGAAATAAATACTATGAACAAGACTAGCTATGCCCGCGACTTTAGTGCTGCGACTTCGTATGTGAAAATAATTTGAGTTAGGTACTGTTTTCTTTTCAACATTATACAAATAAATATCTACTGCAAAAGCGTGTGCCACACTGAAACAACACTATTACGAATATTCGATTGGTAACATGTTTTAGAACTTAAGGCCATGATTTCCCAAATTGTCGATATTTGACCGATTTTGTTTGCAGATAGTTTCTAAATGAAAAGATATTTTAGCAAACAAAAAATTGTAGGAGTAAGTTAATGTCTTTAACTAGGGCGACAACTTTTCCAAAACACGATATTGCATAGTTTGTCCGATAAAAAAAAATCCAAAGAAGTACGTCGACGGCTTTTTTGTTTTACTTCTTTTCTATTCATTTTTAACATTTTACTCTTAAAATATATACTAATAGATAGGACTTTGTATTTTCTAGGTCGACAACTTTTCAAAATTTTGTTATTGCGTCTTATTTAGTTACTATGCTAGGCAAGTTGTTTTGAGGATTGTTTACTATTTCTGGGTTTACAATGATTAATTTAGAGTCATTTGCTTAAATAGAATAGCAATACGTAAAAGAACATTAGTATTTCATATAAAAATGAAGTTTACATTTTTGTGATCATTTGCTTACTATTTTTGTCGGTAAAAAGTATTTGTTTGACTTAATATTATCATCTTTATTTGACATTATTGATTGACAAACATTTGTGTGCATGAACATTATAATAATGTTTGTTTCGGGCTGGGTGTTTTCTAAGCATAATATGAATGTATTTATTTATGTTATGTTATTTAAGTAATATGTTCATATCCTATAGTACAAGCTTTGCTTAGTTTGAGACTAGAGGCGCAGTGTTAAAATATTATGTCGAAGGATATTTAATTTTATTATTTATTTATTCACTATTTGAAGGTTACGGTTTAATCCAACTTACGGCTTGTTTTTACACTGTGGCGTCATCGCGAAGCGCGAGTGTCAGCGCGAGTGTCAGTGCGAGGTGTGCGGGGGCTGAGGTAACGAATGCACGGCATCGAGGCGGTAAATCCTAGCCTTAAGTTCAAAAACATGTTATTTTTGGTAGTGTTTGGTATAGGTAATTGTAAAATACATTACTCATCAAAGATAGTAAATACTATGTGTTAATATTTCGCACGGACAATCGGACATAGCGAGTCTATTTACCATCCAATGGCGTGGGCCTTTGTGGAAGGTGTTCGTATCTTTGAGCAGAAGGTCTCTCCCATGACACTTGTCACAATCACAATTTCCAAAGGTCTGTGCTGCATGATTAAGATTCACCAGTACAATGGCTCTTTACACATCGAAAAATTTGCCCGTATAGATGGCGCTGTAAAACGGTTGCAGGAATTTGAAACGTTCATTCAGGAGCACACTGAATTTGAAGTTTAAAAGCTTGCTTTGCTTCTCAATACGAATATTTTAAAAGTTCCCATGACCTCTAAACTCAACTGTGTATTGTTCTAAAGTCCCTTGTGGAACCTACACACATGTTAATTGCATTACATTACAAACATCTTCAATACACCTACGCCTTGAAGTTAAGAGTGAACTAGGTCAGTGATCACAACAATAATAAATAAATAAATATCCTTGGACATTTTACACTGCGCCGCTAGCCCCAAACTAAGCAAAGCTTGTACTATGGGTACTAGACAACGGATATAAACATACTTAAATACTTTTTTTTTTGTAAATACATACATATTATACATAGAAAACACCCAGTCCAATACAAACAAATATGTTCATGCACACAAATGTTTGTACTGTGCGGGAATCGAACCCGCAACCTCCGGAATAGTAGTCCGATTCGAACCACTACACCAAACGGCCGACAATAATGTACACCGTCTGCTGTCCTTCCCGTAAAAACTTTTTTTTACAAATACCCACTCAGTAGTGGATCCGGTAGACGACTTCAAATCTTTCACCTAATTTAATACGGATGGATGAACACCATGATGATGAGTGATATATGTTTTTCAATAATGTGCAAAAATTAAATAATTTAAACTGGGTGAAATCATCAGTTTATTAACGTTCAGTAAACAAGTTCTGTTTTGTTATTATAGTAAAATAGTAGGTACTCACGGATGCTATCAGAATAACCCCATCGTTTCCGCCGGCCACCCATCATAAACACACCACTCGAGTTCACTTAACAATTTTTAAAAGTTATTTGGGTATTTTTCACTTTGTCATCGACATCTAGTCATTATTATTAAATGACACTAACTATCGAATCCCAAAAAAATCACTTCAACCTTGTTATACCCATAAACCACTAAGTTACCGCCAGAGGCCGAAAATCTGCCCAATATTAAAAATTTAGTTTGTCAATAACTACCGTCTACCGCGACACGAACTTGAATGTATCGCGCCGAGGGCGAGCCGTCCGCTGTGTGTGCACGCGACCCGCGCACTGAGCGATTTATGGTGATAAATTCAGAATTCGAACAGAAGCTTACGTCCTTCTTTTGTTTCGTGATCAGCTGTTAAATAGGGTTGGCTCAATCAGTTGTCGTACGTACTATTCTTAATCGCTATTTTTTCTACAAGTTTCAATAATATTTAAATTATGTTTAAAATAAGGTTTAATGCAAAATTATAAGCATTAGCATAGAGTAGCCATTTGTTTTAGACATTACTGTTATTTGTAGGTAAGTTAAGTAACTTCTTTCGTCTCAAGTACGACTGTACGAATGGTAGAAAACTGTTTTGGATAAGTTGTGTACTTATTTTAAAGGTATTACAAATCAGATATGAATAAAGTTAGTTCGTTCGTGTTTTCTGTATGTTCCTTGCGAGCAAAACCTCGCCGCATCTTGCGACTTGAGGAAAAACCACGGCACAACGAACTCAGTGTTTCCTCGAGCAATTATTACCAAGAGCATATGCAAGTACAAACAAACGACAACATACAAGATTAAATAACATCCTAGGAGGGTGTCCTAGGATGTTATTTAATTGTATTACTTAGTTGTTATTTCCCAACAAAAATGACGTCTGATTTGCAGCTATCTGAAATATTTACGTTAAAGATTCAAGGTTGTTAATCGTGTCATTAAAGAGATTATTATCAATGTTCATGCACTTTTTTCATATTTTATTATTCGGCTACAGCCAACCACAGTCCGCACGTACTAACCGCACAAGTTATCGCCGTTATAATTTGCTATTACGTTCGAGGACAATTGGTTGATGGCGCTCTATTTAAAGCTACATTTTAATTAAGTAAATCAAGTATGAATGTTAGTAATATTGACATAAGTACCTACTCATGGACTATCAATAAGTATACAACATCAAAATTGAAAATCAAATGGTATCTATTGTTTCGGTATTTTGAATAGAATACCTTA